CTTATGCATTCAAAGAAAACGTAGAACTCGTACGTATGGTGTACTCAACATATAAATCCAGTGAATAAAGTATTCATAATCGTGGGAAATCTTCATTTCGAATACAACCGTTACTTGAATTACAAGTCTGTAGACTGGTCACCAATACAGTGAACATGACTATGAAACATATATCATTAAACTTCTCATTATAAAAAACTAAACCACATACAGAGCGTATACACTGTTAGCCCTTTTGTTACATATATATATATAATAGTGACATTTAATTAAAGAAAATATCTCGCCGATTTCTTCAATAAGTTTGAAGGGGAAAGATAAGCATAGGTTATCTCATATTTCATAAATATCTGTAAAAAACGGAGATTTACAGTATATAAGAAAAAAAACAGCCGTTTCGAGCATAAAAGAGAACGCAGTTCTAAGGCTTACTTATACACCTTTCTTTTTATTTGTTATTTAGTTGACCTTGCAGTTTGATATAGTTTACTGATTACATGTTGAATTCATTCTTTATAGCTTACTCCCAGTGGATCAGCGGCAAATCTGAAGGCTTATAATGCTAAAAATAGGGTTTCGATACCTGTGGTGGGTATAGACCAGATAACCAATTGTGTAGCTTTGTGCTTAACAGTAACCAAACTTGAAAGCCGTTTTTACTTTTATCTTCTGTAAATTCTTATTAATAGTACACAACTTATCGAAGAAAAGAAATGATATTCATTTTTATGATCACTGTAAATGTTACTTTAAAACTTAACATGTTTTTGTAGTTCCAAATATGTCATGTAATCAGAAATAACCATTCTGAAACGTACCAACGCTACAACATTTATCATATAGTTTCAAATAATCGTTCTAACTAGGTCTTTTATTTCATATAATCTACTCGTAATGCTGATTTCGTGTGTGAGGTTTTTAAAATGTGGTATATTGGTATGATATTGTATTTGATATGAATTTATCCGACATTCAAACCACCTCATATGATACAATTTAAACTTATGGAAATCAACCAGTTTTATTAATCTAAAAATTGTCAATGTGTACAAACAAAAATTTAAAAATCTTTATCACAACCTGAAAAGTTTCAAAACAAAAAAACAATAACTAATTATAATATAATTTCAATGTCCCCCTCTTGGGAAAACCCCGAAACTTCCTTTGGCGCGGAAACCAAATTTGGGATGAGCCTGGTACTGCACTGTCTGCAGTTTCCCATAAGGATCGACGTAACTGTAGGAACCTACAACGTTCCCGTAACCATCTTGTTCTTCGTAGCGGCTCTGAGGATTATAAGGATCAGCTGTATCGTAGCCAAAACGGTACGAGTGAGGACCTTGAAGACCCTATATTAATAACCAATATTTAAATAATCATTATTCACTTATAACCTAAACAAATGAACGAATTACTCTTAACTACCTCCT